CAAAAAATTTGACATATTTTCCTTTATACCTTGAAAACTAAAAATATTTTGTTAAGACATGTAGAAGAAAAGTTGTGCATAATTGCAAGAGCTTTTATTTGATACTATAAAAAGGGGCTGGCCCCTAAAATTAGGGATCTATGGAGCTTGGAAGTTTTTGCTTTATAACTCAAAAACGGTAAATATTTCGATCTGGATCTTAGGAGCAAAATTGTTCTTTAACACCTTTTTGATCTTATGAGAATGTTTATTTGTTCGAATATACCGGGGTTATTGCATAATACGCAGTCGAAAGCAGGTCAGGTAAACATGTAACGTTTTTATTCGGCAAGTAAATCTGACCTCTTCAAGTGTATTATATAACTTGCTGTAAATAATATACCCTACGGTATTTTATGTTGATTTTCTTCACAATAAGGTTTTAAACGTGTTTTTGGTTAACTATTAAATTATTTATTACAACTAGTTGTTTTTCTTTATTTAATTAGTTTTATAGTGAACACATTTTTAAAAGCGGAAGATATGACATCTATCTTTCTACATTTATCATTTTAACAAACTATATAATTAATCTTAAACTTTATACATCGAATAATTCACGATCATTAGTTGTATACATTTTACGATCCCCATGTTCATCTAGATGTTATGCAACCCGAGCCGCGAATCCCACGCTTCCGATCAAGGTCACCAGTGTACCAGCCACCTGTGGACATAAACAAAGCAAGTGTTTGTGATTGTATTAGACCATTGTGTATAAAGACCTATCAATTAATAGAAAACAGTGTTTTTAATTACATCGCGATTCAATAAGATTATTTTACCCATCTTTTATATTTAATCGTAATTCCAAACACTGGTGCATAAAATCATTTTGAATTCTGTTCTCTTTCTTTTGCATGTTCGCGCAAAATAAAAAAAATTCTCTATTCTGTGTTAATGTATTTTATTTCAATTGTAATTGAGAAGGGGCTTCGGCAAATAATTATAATTAGTGATGGATAGTGATAGGACATATTGTATATGTACTTTTTTTTACCATTACTCTTTTGTTTCTCCATTTACCGGGGTATCATTTTTTTTAAACATTGACCATAAAAAATACTTTATAATATACTATTATTCACGTATTTCTAATATAGGAAAAAGTTTATATCCAGCTCTGTCGCTTTGTGTATAAAGTTGTGTTGCCCGTCCTCGTTTACAAGCACGTGGTTGAAGAGAACAGTGGGCATATGTGAGAATCCAATGTGTACTCCGATAGTTACAACTGGAAAATTGGGTTTGAAATCATGTCGTTTTTTCAATATCATTTAATTTCACTCTATTTTAGTTTGTTTAAATCAATCGTAATCGCTTGTACATTTATTCATTGCAAGTTTTATGTATTTTGATAGCCGAATAAACACTAGCTGGGTTTGCAATATTTTCCCCCTGTTTTTATCGAGGTGGATATTGTTTTATGAAACTTAAACTTACATGCACGCATGCATGGTAGTTGTAAGTGGAGGTGACGTTTCTAATTCACGGAAAAACATCCAACATTAAATTAAAAATTTTTGAGTATGCAGTTATTTGCTACTAAACTTAAAATGTTATTGTACAAAATAATATACTTTTTCGTTGAATAATTAAACAGACTATCTCAACATTGCACGATTTTACATGCCTTGTACATGTACAGCCATTGTAAGTATAAATACTTGTATGCACTTTTGCATAGAATAACGGCCAAAATATATACATCCAGAGTTTCAGAATACGATTTTTGAAAATTGAAAATTCGTTAACGCACTTTATCATTAACCAGTATCTCGACAATAAAATATCAATTTAAATTCTTTCCCAATTTAACGTCCTTCCGGCCAGTCATTGTTAATGTTGGTGACATCAAATGCAGATACTAGGGTGTCAGTAAATAGTTTCACCTTAATTATCTTCATCGTCATTCGGTGTTTTCATCATTAGAAATAAATTACTTGAGGACGTATTGTTTTCTCTTTTCACCTTGGTAACGCGTATGAACAAGATTTTAAACAAAGCAAACGGCATTTTACAAAAAAAGGAAAACGAGAAGAAAAACTAGAGGTACTGTGACCAATGAGCTCACTAAATAATACCCCCCGCATCCCATATGAATATAATGGCAGTATCCATGTTTTGCTCTGGAAAATCCAAAATATGTGTCAGATCAAAAAGTAAAGTAGGTGGTAAAGTAGTAGCTGCAGATCTGTAGCGTTATGATTTTATATATTGTCTTTGACCATAACGCTACAGATCACGTAATGCATAAAAGGTGCAATTTACGGCGCAAGATTTTTTGCGCACTGCTGGGGAAAATTTCTCCACTTCCATCATTGGTCAATTAACTACCTTTCACTCCCCACTTCTAGGCACATTATTTAACTAATCTGTATATTTTATCCATCTTCCAACCCTTTATAGTCGTCTCGACAAGTGATACTCGCTTAATTAAAATTATTTGTTAGATTGCTGAAAATTCACTTCAAGCGAGTTTATTGGATGTGGATAAAATATTCATATTGGCTACAGATTGTGTCTAGAAATAGGGAGTGAAAGGTTTTTGATTGACCAATGCTAGAAAGTGCGCCGAAAATATTGCGCCGTAAATTGCACCTTTTTTTGCATTACGGGATCTGAAGCGTTATGGTCAAAGACAAATATATATAAAACCATAACGCTACAGCTCTGCAGCTAGTAAAGTAGGAGGTGCACAATGGCAATATGTAATAAAGATTCTGTGAAAGTTTCATTAATTTCCTTCAATTGTATGAGAGGAGTTGCGGATAAGAGATGGGTACCCCAAAGCGTAACAGTCGGACGTACAGACAGACGGACATACCAATTACTATATACCCTCCCACTTTTCAAGTGGGGGTATAATGAAATGTATACATTATGGACAAAGTGAAGTCACATGAAAATGCATTAATAATATGAATTTATGTCTTTAATGAAATTGCTCATTTTAATCACAATCAATCATATACCGGTAATCTTTCCTATCATAAGAAAAATACTAATAATATGGATTTATGTCTTTAATAAAATTGCTCATTTTAAAAATTACAATCAATGAACATATGTAACCTTTGCCATCGAAAGAGTAGAAAGGAAAGGTTATTTGCAAGTGAATGGAACTTGTCTGTATATTATATATTTTGTACATAATGAGTTGATCTGATAGAAGTCATCATTAATCACTAGGAATTTATTTGAATCTAAGAATCTGATGTTTCACACTTAAGGAGGCTTGGGGGTCAACAAATTAACCATAAGATATAACTCCAATTTTAAGATATGACATCTTAAGCTGTCAACTATCATTTGAAAAATATAAAAATCATTTTAAATTTTAATAAAATTTCATCATTTTTACATGTTACGCAAACTTGGTACAAAGCATCCTTGGGTAATAGAGAGTTTAAATTCTTGAAGTGAAGTGCCAAGTTCTCTTACAAGGGTAGATAATCAAGAGATGACAAAAATAAGGTGGGGTCATTAAAAATCTTCTCAAGAACCACTGGGCCAGAAAAGCTGAAAGTTATTTTGGAACATTCTGATGTAGTATAGATTCTCAATTGTCAAAACTACTAGTATGACCCCCACGGGTAGGATCGGGCCACATCAAGGAATCAAAGTTTTGCATTAAAATAAACATGTATTGGGAAAATTTTTTATAAATCTTCTCAAGAATCAATAGGTCAGAAAAGCTGATACTAAATTACATGGGAGCATCCTGGGGTAGTGCAGATTCTGAATTGTTAAAATCATGACCTCTTGGGTGGGTGGAGGTGGGGGTGAGGACTGGTAGGGCATGGCCTCAAAAAGTATTATACAGAGAGAAATCTGGTAAAGATTAGCATCACCAAAGTTTCAAAGGTGAGCAAGGTGTATTTTCTACTTTTATGTAAAATTTTGCTGAAATTTGCCAAGATCAATATAACTTAATGAGTTTAAGTAACAAAATGGTTATTTTTATGAACAGTATGATACTTATTTGCACTAGATGAATTGAAAGTTCTAAAACAGGACTCCTTCAAGAGTCACTAGCATAGAAACTATATGAAAAATTCTTAAAATCCTATCAAAATTTGAATGTGTAATTTTACAGTTGTCTAATAAGCCATATTTCAAACTATGAGAGCAAAAATAGTGTGGTCAAATTTGTATAATATTATATTAAATACAGATTTTGTATCCTACAACAAAATGTTAAAGTTTCACAAAATCAAAAATAAGAGGAAAAATTTGGCTTATCTATTGTGCCCTAGCTTATGATTCCTTTAAAAGAAATAAATACATATAACTCTTTAAGTAGTGTTGTAAATGTCTTATTGATATATAAATCTATAAATGATGACCAACGAGAGTTCATTTTTATCGAGGAAAAATTATCTGGACAAAGGAGTGCTGAAAAAAATAGGTTGGCTGCACGGTCTTGTATACATCTGTAGAAAAGGCGAAATTGCAGTACATATGGTCTAAAAGGGATCCTGAGATATGTGTTGGACTGTCAATGATCTGTTGGAAGCCATAGGATGCAAAGAATGTTTCCAATAGTTTCTGCGATGGTGACGCTTGAAGGAGATTTACATTGAAATCTCCAGAAATAAGAGTTGGTATGTTTAGATGAGGAATGTTTTTCATAACATTGTCCATATGGGTTAGGTAGATTTCTAATGTTTGATTTGGAGGTCTGTATGTGACAACGAAACAGAATCTCAAAAATGAATTCCTATTAAATAATACAAGAGCAATGCACTCAACAGGTAAATGATAGACCTGGCAATTAACTTCTACACAATAATGATCACTAACATACACAGCTACACCTCCATGAGCAGAATGCTATGTTCTAGATGTTGGAGCAGTTGTATTTTCCCAGGTGTAGTGTCTGTCTTTGCGGAAGATATGGTGATTTTTCCAATCATAATCACAGTCACTGTCAGACGGCATTAAGAATGTCTCTGTAACTCCTAAAATATGAGCAGATCTAGCAGATGGCTGTGCAATGATTGTGCATTGACTGCTGATATGCTGATCATCGAGTTGGAATCTGGTAGATATGATAGGGTATCAGGAGGAAAGAACTTCATGGAGTTTATGAGCCTTTCCATTTCAGCAATGGTCTTGGCACTGGTTTTGATTTTTTGGCTGTCAAAATTCACAAGATACAGGCCATTCAATGATTTTACTCTACTTAAAGCAACATAGAGCTGTCCTGGCTGGAACTGGCCATTGCAGTGTATTACAATGCTGTTCAGTGTCTCTCCTTGCACCTTATGAATAGTGGTTGCCCAAGCGAGCGTGAGAGGAAACTGGAAACGGACTGCATGCACAGTTGAGTGTTTGCCTAACTGCACTTGAACCTGTTGTCGAACAATAGGTACAACTGTTGACTGATGCTGAAGGAGGCGTCCGTATAAAATCCTGGTCTGATGTCCAATATTTGGGTTGTCAAATTCAATGAGAATAAAATTTGGTGTGTAGTTGTCATCTGCAGTAGTTGGTGGTGTTGGTATGAATCCTTTCACTGTTCCTTTAGCTCCATTTACCAAACCATCAGCTGTACTAACATTGTATGTCAGAATAATTCTAGCTCCTACAGCTAAATGAAGAGTTGAGCGTAAGCCTCCTGTTTCTGTTGCTTATCTGAGAGATTTACAGCAATGGCACCTGTTGTAACATCCTTCTTTGAGTCTTGTGCTCTCACAACAAATTTTGAGGTTGAAAGTGATTCCAGTTTCTTGTTGTTGTAATTGTCTACTGCTTTGTTTGTGGTGTAAACATGGAGGATGTCTTCAGGAGGGTCATTTGTTTCCCTTGTACACAGTGTCGATACATCATCACTTGTGTGCTGTCCACTTCTTACACGGTTCAACAATCTGGCAAAAGATAAGTCATCTCTCTGTCTCATGATCTGTTGAAGTTCTACAACTTTAAAATGATTTTTCCATAGAGATCCATATAATCTTGCTATCTCTTCAGAAGGTTGATCAAAAAGAGCTCGCTGTGCATGTGGAGGTAGTTGAAATAAATCTCCAAAGGTAAAGATGCTGAGTCCACCAAATATTTCAGAACTCCCTGTGATTTCTTGAAGACGGCGGTGTAGGAACAGAAGCATGTCAGCGCTTATCATTGATATTTCATCTATAATAATTCAGTGAACTAAGTTTGCATCTGAGTGTGTTCAATTTTTCTTGTGAGAGAGGCTTATATGTTGAAAACCCCTTCATTACAGGCAACAGAAAAGCAGAGTGTGTAAGGTCATGCCAAACACATTAAAAGCTGCTGTGCCCATAGGAGCTGCTCTAAGGACTGTTATTTCATCCGAGGTTTCTGTGACAGGGCGGAATAGACGGAGAGCTGATTCTTGAATGGTTTTAATGAGATGAGATTTGCCCGTTCCTGCTCCGCCGCTGACAAATATGTGAAAAGCATCAGGTTTTGGAGGCATCTTTTTACTTTGACATAACCTTGTACACCATGTGACAAAGAAATTGTGAACCAGAGTTTGCCCCTCATTCAACGAGTGGATTCTCTCTCCACTGGTGGTCTGTCAACCTGGAAGCTAGAACTTCATAAATGACTTGGGGTGATTCAAGTGATGGGTCTCCATTGGGAACTCTGTTTCTTCCTGGATCCATAAAATCAGCATTTTCATCATCCATAGAACCTTCTCTAGCAGCATCAAGGTTTGCTTGCACTGTTTCTGGGGCCAGATGTCCCCATGCATCAGGATCAGGAGGACCATTTTCTTCAATGTCATCCAGTGCTTCTTCTATTAACTGTGCATGTTTTTCAAATCTCAGCATCATAGCGTTGATTTGTTCAGCGTAAGTTGCCAATTTTTTCTGGAAGAAATCTCCTTCAAATTCACAAGGTCCAATGTCTTTTTCCTCGTTTCTCCATGGGACATATAGCAACAATAATGCATAGGAATACTTCTCAGGATTCTTTTTCTGTGAGACTTTGTGTGTTCGTATGACTGCTGTCTTTTTTCTCCTCACCATTTTTTTTCCATCTGTTAATGTGATGTAGTGTGGGGATTCCAGATCATCCGCTAGACCAATCACCTCTGGATTTGTGTCCTCAGAATCAAAATTTGAGTAGAATGTTGTGTATGTTACAGCAAATTCTGCTAAGCATATGTCTGACAGATAAAGTGGTCGCATAGAGTATTTGTCAAGAAGACCAGCTTGATAGATATCTTCATCATCATCTTCCATTTGTTCTATGACAGCTCTGGGTTTCAATAATTTCACTCTCTCTATAGGTGGATTAGTTGAAACAAATATTCGTTGTCTGTCAAAATAGCACAATGGAAGTGACAACACTCAAAAAGTTGCCTCCTGAGCATTGACTTCTCTGTGGGTCAGGAACTTGCTTGCTACAGTTCTAAGCTGTCGTGTAATATCCATGTTAGAACACTCCTTACTAATAGATTTCAGGAGATCTCCTAACGTTCTCTCTGCTTTGCTTATATATGAAGCAATATACATGATGCATGCATACGGGTTGCAGACAAGTTGGATGTCCATATTGGCCTTCCATAGTTTAAGAAGTGTAGGGTTGTAGTTGTTTACATACTTCTGGCTGGGTTGTCGTTTCATAATAATAGAATCTGTTTTTCTGCACTGAGAGAGTGCAGAATAGTAAAGTTTTTCTGGAAGTCCGATTCCTTTCAGTAGATGCTCTGTGGTTATGTCTTCTCCTAGCTCATCCAGTTTGGCATACACAAGAGATAGTATTTCTTTCACTTGAGCATCTGTCATGTTGGCTGGTTCACTGGATGGCTCTTGTTGATTTTCATCTGTCTTTTTAACTGTTCTAATTATAATGGTTCTATCTGTTGGTGGCTTGGGAAATGAAAATCTACAGCTTTTGCCTGGTTTCCTGCATGAAGGAGAATGTATATGACTCTGAACTTTTTTTTACCAATTCACAAAGCTCTTCATCATCTGTTGGTATATCACAGCTGACATACTGATCATGGAAATTTCTGATTTCTTCATCAGTGGAATTCTTAAAGTCTGGTGTTCCTTCCACCCAGAATGCCATATGTGCATGGGGAGATCCCCTCTGTTAACGTTGAAACTCAGTTCTGTACATGTACATGGTGACTTTCCCAACAGGCTGCTGTGGACTGAGAAGGACATTTTTGATGAACTGCTTTAGTCTATAATCAAAATGTCTTGCAATAGTAACTGGATTTTGTCTGATCCATCTGCATCTCTCATCCCATGTCATGTCTTTTACATCCTGGTCTGTGAAATTGTGTCCATATTGTCTTCCTATTATCTGTATCCCTTCTGGCCATTGCAGATCTGCTGCTGAGAGTGTAATAAACCATGTGAATGATCCCAGCTGCTTAACACAGGCAAGTAGTTCTAACAACATCTTGTCAAAGTATACTGGAGAACCTCTGACTTGAGTAAGGAATTTGTAACCATGACCTTTCAGAATCAATGCTGATAGCCGTGACGGATCTTTTGCAAGTCCAGCATTCAATTTTGAAGACGAAGCCTTCCTCATGGCTACAGATATGGAACCATTGATGTGTTGAAGATCTATAATGTGTTGTGCATAAAAAATGTAATCCGAGTTGCGAGCAAATCTGCCATCTCTATGTAAAAATCTGGCATTAATGTATCTACTGAGTGATAATTTAATTTTACATTTCGTATCAAATCCAAATTTTCCATCTGGAAACAGTTTAGGGAAGGCAAGAACTTCATTGTTGTCATCGGTCAGAAGTGACACAGGAGTTTTTCCTTCACCAGGTGCAGTTGATATAATTTCATTTCCTCTGTACTCTTGCTGAATACATGTATCATAAGCAATGCCTCTTGTTTGAGATATCTCTTCAGCATTCAACAAATCATCATCCTCTCCTGACCATTCATCATTGTCATTTCCTGAAGTACTGTGTTCATAAGCTCCATCACTACCATGAGTATTGTCCTCCTCATTATGTGGGTCTGTTCTCTGATCAGGATTCCCACTGTCATCACCCACTGATTCATTCTTTTTAGTATGTGGCTCTATCAGTCTTTCCTACAATGATGGATTATCTCCAGCAGCCAAATCTTGCCAATTTTCTAAGACAGGAACATCTTTGTAAAATTCATTTTTTTCCTTCAAAAACAGTAATGATGATATTACTCTGTCTGGAGATATATGCTGAAACTCAACATGACCTCTGTATTCTAGCTTTCTTTTCAGTTTGACCGGAATGAGTCCGGAGTTGGTGGGAAGTCTGGGTAACAAAGTACATGTCTGTGAACTATCCACAGGAACATTGACCACAGTACCGTGTATAGCTTTTTGTCCTCCACGGGGTAGGGCAAGTATCTTCATGAATATGAGTCTTTGGGAAACTAGTCTGGGCTCAAAATCAGTTAATGATATCAAAGGTTCCTTGAGCTCAGTGAGGTGAAGTTCATTTACTGTTGCTTGTACAGGTATTTTCTTCTTGTGCAGTGAAAGAATACATGTTTTACATATGTAATTAATCTCTTTCTGAACAAAACACCAGCCTGGCAGTGCCTCATTCAAAACATCTGGATCAACTGTTTTGAATGTATTCTTGGTAATCTTATTTACAGTCTGTTCATAGAGAAGCCGATTACAACATATGCATACAAACGAGGGTCCAGATTTGATTTTGTGAAGGAATGACGGATTTTGAAGGTTTATTATTTTATTTACCGATTTTCTCTGCTGATCCCTTGTTCTGACTTCATTTTTTTTCTCATTAGGTAAGTGTTCTCTTTTGTCCTGTTTTCTCTTTCTTTCTGATGCCTTTATGATCTGCTTGGTTCTTTCAAGTAACTGCTCTCTTATGTCTTTCTTTTTGTTTCTATCTGATATTCTGACAGAGTCTTTCAAATCAGAAGGCATATTTTGACGATAATTGGACAGCCGTTTTCGCTCTTTTGCTTTTATAATGGTTTTTTCTTTATCAGGTAAATTCCTTCTTTTGTCTAGTTTTTTTTCCTGTCTGATGTCTTGATGATTTCTTTAGTTTCTTCAGGTAACTGCTCTCTTTTATCTTTTTTTCTCTTTCGATCTGATGCCTTTATGTTTTCCTTGATTTCTTTAGGTAAATGCTCTCTTTTGACTTTTTTTCTCTTTTGATCTGATGCCTTGATGTTCTCCTTGATTTCTTTAGGTAAATGCTCTCTTTTGTCTTTTTTTCTCTTTTGATCTGATGCCTTGATGTTCTCTTTGATTTCCTCAGGTAAATGCTCTCTTTTTTCCTGTTTTCTTTTCTTTTTCGATCCGATGCCTTGATGTTTTCCTTGATTTCCTCAGGTAAATGCTCTCTTTTGTCCCGTTTTCCTTTTCGATCTGATTCCTTGATGTTCTCCTTGATTTCCACAGGTAAATGCTCTCTTTTGTCTTTTTTTCTCTTTTGATCTGATGCCTTGATGTTCTCTTTGATTTCCTCAGGTAAATGCTCTCTTTTTTCCTGTTTTCTTTTCTTTTTCGATCCGATGCCTTGATGTTTTCCTTGATTTCCTCAGGTAAATGCTCTCTTTTGTCCCGTTTTCCTTTTCGATCTGATTCCTTGATGTTCTCCTTGATTTCCACAGGTAAATGCTCTCTTTTTTCTTTCTTTCTCTTTTGATCTGATGCCTTTATCTTTTCCTTGATCTACAGGTAAATGCTCTCTTTTGTCCCGTTTTCTTTTTCGATCTGATGCCTTGATGTTCTCCTTGATTTCTTCACATAACTGCTCTCTTTGTCCCGTTTTCTTTTTCGATCTGATGCCCTGATGTTTTCCTTCATTTCTTCAGGTAAGTGTTCTCTTTTGTCTTGTTTGCTTTTTTTATCCATGTCTTTTCTTTCTCTTTTCTCTTCATCTGACATTCCTTGTCTATACTTAGCCATTCTTTTCCTTGTTGATTCTTTTTTCCTCTTTGTTTTCCACTCATCTTTTGTTGTTGTCTGATCTGTTTCTGACTGCTGTGATGTCGAAAGGAAATCTTTTTTATCTGCGTGGTCCTGAAAACTATGAGTAGAATTTTTTTCTTCTTTTAGATCAGTTTGCTTTTTACCATCTTGCATCATGGTAGGATCATACTTTTCGTCAGTGTCTGCTTTTAGCTTTGTATCATA